ATAATAATAAAATATAAAGTGTGAATCAAATATTTATTTTTAATAAATAAAAATTATATTATTTTTAAATATTTAAAAAACAAACTATTAGTTATTTTTTCTAGTTAGTGAATTTTTTTATTAAGTTAATAAAAATTTTTAACCAACGAGGGGTTGGATCAAGTGGTAAGCGGCTTGTTCCAGCTTAAGCAAGATCTCGAGTTCGAGTCCTTGTGGATGCAGCAGCCCCCGCTGGGAGACTCACCCACCATTTCCAGGTGCGCGACGCGGGTCGGGTCCGGATTAGTCGGGGCGAAGCCTCGGATACCGGACGGGAAACCGAAAATAAAAATTTTTAACGATAAGTTATTTAAGGGAAAAAAATTTAAAACCAATTAGATAAGTAATAATTAAATATTATAGCAAACAATTAAAAAATTAACATGGATAAAATTATCAATAAAATTAAAAAATTTCAATTTACTAGTAATTTAATATAAAAAACTACCTTTCAATTCTTATGATTTAAATCCTAATTGCTATTTGTTAATTTTAAATTATTAAATAAAAAATTTTATTAAACACTCGGATTCTATCTAGTATGATTGTGGTTTTGAACTTTTGATTTTGATTTATAAAAATTTAGAAACAATTTTTAGAAACAATTTTTATAAATTAATTGAGTTTATAATTTGAGGTATTTATTTTAAAATTTTATACCCAATAAATTCTCAATGTTAATTTTAATTTTTGATTTTGATTATTTGAATATTAAAAACAAAAATCAAAACCTATAACCATATTAAATGAAATCTTAGTTTGTAGTAGTTTCAAAATAATTAAACTTACTAAAATCTTATACCGGCTTGAGCAAAAACCATTAATCACTACCCTAAATCGTTATACCAAATATATCTTAAATGTATATAAAAATATGTATAAGTTGATATTAATTTTAATATCATTACTTGTGGATAAATTTAACTGCTTAGTTAATAAATTACAAGTTAATTTTTTTTCTTAATACAAATTAAGGATAAAAATATATATTTATTATATTTTTAATCTGTATCCATAAAATATAAGTTAAAAAAACCATTTATATTTTAGGATGACCAAAACTATAAGAGAAATCTATTACAATGAAAAAAAAATGAAATATTCTTTAGTGTTATAAAATATGAATACATGACCAACTTATTAAAGATTTAAATGCAGATACCTCACTCTAGGTCTGAGCTCTGATGTATTTGGGTTTTTATGGACCATTCCTTAAAGAACGTTCTGTATTGCCTACCGCTGATTAATTAGAAAAAACGATGCTGTTAGAACCTTCCATCAATTTTCATGCTACATTTGACTTTGTCGCTTCCGCTTGCTTCTTGGAGCAAGTAGAAGAAATATGGCCTTTTTCTCCACACATATAGCTTGTCCTCTTCATCCCACTTCCGGAGCTTACCCCACCATTATCAACTTCATTAGCTGTTGGCCATTTTTCTTCATTAGGTTTTCACTACTTTGTTTTGACAGGTTTCCCATAAACAATCTCCTTGTCCAACTTTAATGCCATTGCTACCGAGACATTAACACTATCAGCAAAATCCACATGAGCATGTCCTCGGAACTCCCCTGTTTCCTTTTCTATGCCAAATCGTATAGATGATATATTGCAATCTGAAAAGAATTCCACAACAAATTTTCCTCATAGATCCTGTTGTAGCCTTCCACCATTTGTGGAACAAAATTAGACACTCTATTGGCGCTAGTTGTTTTGCAGGGTTGAATTGTCAGCTGCAATCCACCCGTGGTGAATACATTGGAAGTGTTACAATTTACAAACATGATATGAGAATGGGCGACAATGAAAGATAAAAACAACTGTAATCACCACATTTATATGTTCCTTGCATTTCTGCTGTGTCTAAAGCCAATGCTCGTTTGGCATCTGCTTCAGCCTGTGAAACGCAATGCAATAATCATGTCAATTCAAAAAGAGAATTTCTCTGCTCCCTCTCAATACACGAGCAACCGTGTTGGTACTTTTAGTTGTAAAAATTTTGATGAAAATTTTTGCCTGACAAGAAATGAAATAAATGATTTAGGAAAGAATCTTAAATTGTAACAAACTATGAAGCGATTTGTTGAAAAAGCAAGTAAAAATTGCGGCGCGCTTAATAGTCACAAGCAAACATTGATACCAATAAAGACATGTAGCTTTGCCTGCTTCTTAGTTGGCTACCTCAAAACTAATAATTGCAATGCCTCCTAAAGTCCAGTTGTCCAGAAACTTCACGCAATCAACTTCAATTATGGCTCCACAGTCTCCACAGTAATGCCGCATATCCTCCTTTGTATAGCCATATGGAATGCTTCCAACATAAACTCTCGTAACGACATCATTAGCTTGACTACAAAATATGGTGGGCCATAGCAAATAATTAACTCCATTCATGAACTTATTACTTAAGGGCTCAAAAGGAAAGGATAAATTATGTTTGCTGATAATAAAAATGAAGAGTTTTGAAGACTGATTTTTTTTTTCTTTTTTAAGCTAAAAAGGGGGGTCATATAATCAATTTTAGACAATGCAGAAGACAGATATACTAAAATGAGCTAAAGAGGAGGCATGGATCCATGCTGCATTAGTGCATCAATCTAACATTCTCTAAGCTTTTTTCATTGCATGGAAAATGCTAACATTAACAACACACAAAGCATCACCAAACAAACCACAAAAGGATTAAAATAACCAAATGAAATGAATGTTTCTCTAAATTACCTGTCAGTGCCAGTATCCATATCCATAGTTCCTTCCTCTTCACTTGCCTTCTGCTCTTCCTTTTTCTCCCTCTTCTTCTTCTTTGACATTTTCACCTCCTTCACTGCTCCATCCTCCATTCCCTCCTCTCTCGCCCTCTTCCTCCTCCTCCTCCTCTTCTTCTCTTCGTGTTATTTTTCACCATTATCAACCAGTAACTCAGCATCTTGTTTCTCTTCAACTCCATTGCTTTTCTTTTTTTGCTTTCTTCTTCTTTTCACTCTTATTCCCACTAATACTCCCACCCGTAGCTTCCAAATCGCCTTGCTTTTCTCCTCGATTGCATTGCTCTTCTTGCTTAAACCTTCTGGACCCTGTAAAGATGGGGTTTTTCTTCCTTTTTCCTTCTTCGACAATATGGGTTTTTGGGCGACTGAGTCTAGGAGAGCATTCAGGGACTAAGGCTGTAAATTTGTATCTGAATTGCTATTCGCGTCAGGTCTATCCACCGATTTTGCTATCAGCTCTGCCCTCAATTTCTGCTTACGCATCTTGTTTGATAATACCATTTTCCTAATTCCGTCACAATCGAATTATCGAAACCAACAGCTCATCAGAGAGACAGAGGAAAATCGCCAGAGTAAAAGGGTTTACGAGGGGAAAATGAGTAGAGAATCGGAGCATAATACGACACGACGTCGTTGCGCATCCAGTTGCGTGTTTTCCGTTGCTACTCTCTCTATGTTTATATACGAATGATATTTTTTTTTATAATTTTAGTATTAAAATTGCACAAAAAAAATAAAATTTGTACTGAAAAATACCCTTCTCTCACTAATTTTATGAAATTTTAATATCTCCCTTAGAGTAATTGAAGAAAATTAAAATATTTTACTAATTAAAAAAAAGTATGTAACTACTAACTAGTATGGCAAATTTATCATGAATAAATTTAAACAAGAAAATCCGTCTAAGAAAAATCGAAAAAAGTAAACTTGTAGAAAGTAGATAGGGATTAGGTTGATTCATATAGGTAACTTGTTAGATTGATTCGTGTTCTTGTCAAATTCAATACATCATCCATTATTTGAAAATCAATTTAAATAAAAAAAGCCAAAAAAAAAAAAAATTGAATAAATGAAATAAATGATATCTAACCTATAACATTATTTTTTTTAAATAAATTACAATTATTTACATATTAATTAAAAAAATAAAAAAAAAATCTATAAAATGTAAACATATAATCTACATGAGATGAAGGATCATAACCCATAATTTATAACATTTTTTTTCCCCCTTTCATTGGCTGGATTGTCACCTAAATATCCATTATACCTAGTACTTTCTATGAATATGCGATTTTGTAGTCCAAACTAGGAGGACTACAAAACACTTTTTCAATATATATTATGTAGTTGTTTAAACCTAGTTGCATTGTTTGACTGTGAGACAAGGAGATTTAGGATGTGCTTGAGACAACTCTGTAACAACGGCAAGGAAAAAAAAAAATCTTGGCCGGCCATCTTAACAATGAGGCTGTTTCCTACATGGTTAGAAGTCCACAGTTTCCTGAAGCCGTGAAAATTATGCTGACTCTTGCAATCTTTACATATTGATCTCCATGCTAAAGTAAATTCAACCATTTTTTTCTTTTTAATTATTGTCAAACTATAGGATGTTTTTCCTCTATTCTGTTAAGATAAATGCTCTGTGCACAAGTTCTTTGAAAAATATTCGACTTTGAAAACATTATCTTCCAGTGTCTGATGTCTTTTGTTTCTTTCAGTAAAGACATGACAGGAACTTGGTTAGCATCAGCCAAGTAAATTAAACAACCCCAAGGCTCCTTTCGTCATATGAACTTGGTTGCTTTAAATTCGTGTTTTAATTACTGCTACCCTTGAAGATATTAACGTAAGCAAACATGAAGAAGCACCGTAAGTGACAGCTCCTCATCAAACAAAAGCAAAATAGAAACTCCAGATGATATGGGGTAAGATGCTGGTTTTTCTTTTGCCTTTCTTTTCAACATTTTGATCTGAACATAACTGTTACTGCACTTTTGAAACAGGAAGATGGCTGTGGAACAATGGAAAGGTGATTTCATTAGCATTATGCCAGATGAGATCCTTTTTTACATCCTTTCCTTTCTCCCTACCAAAACTGTGGAGCAGACATTTCACCTATCATCAAGATTGAGAAATTTATGGAACATGTCTCAGGTAAGACATGGAACCTTGCAGGATATTCCTAGTGAAGTTTCTAGTTTTATCAAAAGTTTTTATGAACTCGATTCAATAAGGCTCTTCGGAGACTTGAGTTTCACTTTGGCAGTGACAGCTTCCTCATTGGTACCATTCTGGCCAATAATGGCTTCTACCGGGATTTTCTTCATCAAAGGAGGAGCTCTCGAGTCCATTTGAGTGTAAACTGGATTTCAGTGTCTGTTCATCCTCTTCCCCCTTCCATTTCCTTTGTCAAAGCTCTTCATTTAAAATCAGTGGATTGTCTCACCAATGAAGTTATGTCCATTTTGGTCTCAAATCTTCGGTTTCTTGAAAACTTGAAAATTACTGAATGTGTTGGATTTAGATCATTGCTTATCAATGCCAGCTCGAAGCTCTGTTGCTTAACCGTTCTGGACTGTCTCCAGCTTAAATCTGCATACATCAAGGCCAGTAATCTTAGAACACTTCGGTTAAGAGGGTCACTTCCCCTGTTTTGGCTTGATAATTACTCATATGTACCGAAACCATACATGGAAGATGTCATGCTTGATTTCAGAAGAGGTCCTGGCTTTATGAATAAAAGCAACAACTTTCGCTACTTTCTTTTTGTCATAACAGATGTCAAGATTCTTACACTTCGTTCTTGGACATTTAAGGTTTGTTTCAACCATTTCTGTATTCTGATTTTGAATTAGAGAGTTTTTTCCCACTTGTAAAATGACCTACCATCAATTTAACAGCTTATGAATAAAAGAGTTGTGTATGTCTGATTTCAGGAATATGTCGAGCCATGGCTATCCTCCTGATATACAGACTATTGGTTCCGTGAACTAAAAGAGTTATGGTGGATTGATGATTCAGTGGAACAAAATAAGATTGATGTCTTGGTTATATTCTTGAAAAGCTGTCCTTCCATGGAGAGATTGTACAAAACTGTAGGTTTCTCTAGTCTAATATATACAAAAAAATCTATTCTTGGTGTGCTTCAAAATCATTGAAATGCACTCCTGTCAAAATGGTCTAAATAGTGTAACGGAATTTTTCAGATTAATCCTACAAGCTACTGCAAACCAAGCCAGGGAAAGGACTTGAAAGAAGACACCAGGTGCACAAAACTTGACCAACTCAATGCAGTATAACTGGATGGATTCAAGGCTCTAGAAGAAGAGAATTTATTGGTAGAGCAAATTCTAGAGTTGACTGCTATGAAGCCGCTAATCATATCAGAATCGCATGGTATCTGCAGGGCATCTTACTGGCCAAACCATAAAAACAAGGAAAATGGGAAAATGGGAAAATGAATAACCCTAGATTGCCACAAGAAGAGTGTTCTCCCATGTCTGTGGAAGTGGAAGGTTGCAGGGAGCTCCACTGCTTTAAGCGTCCACACATGGATCAATATGCTAAATCTCTATGGTTGAAGAGTTTGATTATAAACATGTAAAGGGTGCAAAGAAGCTTTTCTTTACTTCTGTAAGCAAAAGTACAAACAAGCAAACTAAAATAAAAGTACAAGTAAATCCAAATCCAATCCAACCCTAGTTCTCCTACCACAAAGACAACTGCATTATTTTTCATCCAAATTTTATTCTCTCCACAATTTAAAAGGAAAGAGAGAAACTTTGATCTTGAAAAGAGATTCAAATTGAGAAGAAACTCCTAAAAATCATTGGTAGGAAGCGGCTCGTGAGCACCTTCACCAATGAAAAGGTTGTCATAGATAAGGGCTGCAATGGCAGCACCAATAAGTGGACCGACCCAGTAGACCCAGTGGTTAGTCCATGACCAGCTAACCACAGCAGGACCAAATGACACAGCTGGGTTCATAGAGGCACCATCAAAGGCACCACCAGCCAAGATGTTAGCACCCACAATGAAACCAATTGCTATGGGTGCAACAATGCCAATATTTCCCTTCCTTGGATCCACTGCTGTGGCATACACTGTGTAGACCAGGCCGAAGGTCATCACAATCTCAAACACAACGGCATTCCACACGGATACATTTGAGGATAAGGAAAATGCTGATGTTTCCTGCAATTCATCAATTGAAATATGTAAATTTCAATGTCTAAATGACTCATTAAGGTTCAATTAAAAAGGCATTTTCAGGAGCACTTCCTTACCAATCCACCAGTGGCGAATTTAAGCAACAAGCAAGCCACAACTGATCCAAGCAATTGTGCAATCCAATACAAGATGCCCCTCAACAAGGTAATATTGCCACCAATAAACGCACCAAAGGTCACGGCCGGGTTGACATGGCCCCCAGAAATGTTTGCCCCAACTGAGACCGCCACAAAAAGTCCAAATGCATGAGCCAGCGATGCAGCCACCAGGCCTGCTGGCGTTGTTGACCCGTTATCAGTTAACTTGTCTGCCAAAAAAAACACACAACAAACCCATCAACCATATGTTAGAAACTGCAAATTCCTGTTTGATTCCCAAGAAAATAAATCAAGAGCATGCATAAATTCCAGAACTTGACAACTAAGATCTTACTGAAAGCCATCCCAGATCCTTCACCGGCGAAAACGAAAATCAGCGTAGAGAAGAATTCTGCCAGAGCCGCCTTGAGCGCGTCCGGCCGGCTCGCTTCACCTGGCGTTCCAACTGCAATTCTAGAAATCGGCATTTTTCTTGAGTTTCCCTCTTAACCCAAAATCTCTTTAGCTATTTAGAGATTTCCAGAGCACTATCTTGCTCCTTGCTTCCAAGATTGTAGCTCTGTTCTGTGTTGCTCGGTGTTCAGTGAAAGCTTCCCTTATATACCTGAAATAACGGCTGACGAACCGGTAAAAACCGGGGCCGGGTAAAACAGAGGAGACGGAGGAAGTGGGTTTATTTTTTATTTTTTTTGCCAGATGTCGGTGAATTATTGGTCGTGAAAGGGACAAGTAGAGTGTTCTTAAGATGCCACGTGTGTGATGGGATGTGATGGAGTTACGTTAGATATGGAGCAACTATACGGCGAGGAGAAGAATTTGGAATTTTGGATCGCCGACCTAGTGATTTAGTGGGCCCACAGCGATGATTGTGTGGTGTGTGGTCTATTTTAATCACGTAGGTCTGGGACTTGGGCGGCTGAAAACCGACCATTGAATTATCAAACTTACTTGCGTTCGGTGATGGGTCACGGCCTCACGGGATTTGTTTGTATTAGGCCGCAAGTGGGCCTAATAGGGTCCACTTACATTCTTATCATCTAGCACTATTGAAGCCTTCTTTTTTTTCTTTTTTTCTTTTTTTTTTTTTGTTTAATAAGTTGATGGAAGAGTGATGATTTAATTTAAAATACTTTGTATTAGTTTTCGATTTGGACGGTGGCATCCTCCACCTATGTTACGTGCAGTTTGAGATGAATTTTTTTAAATTAAATATATATTAAATGAGGTGATAAAAAGAAGAAAATGTTGAATAACTCAATTAGAATTATTTTAATATAATATGTAATTTTTTTTCATCAATCAAGTGAAATAATATTAATAAGGAGTATAAAAGATAATTTTACTTATGAATACAGGCATGAAACTACATTACCTCCGTACTATTACTCTCACCCTAATAAAAACTAGACCATATGAATTAATCCAAATGTAACTTGTTTGAGGCTCTTCATGATTCATGAAGG